TGTGGGTGGGTGGAGTGGCATGAGAAGGCCTGGGCAGAAACAAAAAGGTGATAGGAAAGGGAGATGAGACTAAGGTCCCCCTTTCTCTTCAAATGACCATTACAGGTTCACTTGGGGAGGTGGGATGGATTTGGATGTGTACTTCTTTGCTACATCTGCAAGATTTTCCAAAAAGGAAGGCACAATGTAGTGTTAAAACAACTTTGGAAGCAAGAATAAAAACTTAAAAAAATATATTGTAAGGCGTGTTGCTTAATGGTAGAGTACATGTTTGTTATATATAAGGCCCTCAATTCAAGTCCCAGCACTACACATCAAAAAAGTTTTCAAAATACCAGTAGCTTAATAATCAGCTGTACCTCATAATTTAATACACAGGTTTGCTTTCTGTACACCTCTGAACCCCAAAAGGTTGTAGAGTGGCATCATTCTTCTATATTTACAACCAAGGACACTAAAGCTGTTGGTTATGACTTGAAAAGTTAGCTCCAGGCAGAGTGTGACACTGAACCCAAATGCAAGAAGTCAGAGAGAGGCAGCAGCAGGCAGACCTCTAGTCTACCCAGAAATAACACTCTACATGTGGTTAATAACTCATAGAGATGGGCTGGAAATGAGCATGGCCTATTTGGATTAATTGAGCTAATATACTTTGAAATATAAAGATGAAAATTAATTATGACTTGCATAAAATGTTAATAACAGAATTTCTTAAGTAACAAGAAAATAATTTTATAAAAACCAGAAAACAAAGTTCAACAATTTGCTGTTTATAAGTTACAGACACATAGCAAAATATACACACAAGTTAAAAAAGTAAAACACTAAACTCAATCATGCAAATGCAAATTCAAGAAAAGCAAGAGGCTTCCATCACAATTTTGGAAAAGTTGAAGCTAGAAGCATTAAAAGAGRTAAACAGGGTACTAAAAGGCACAGTTTTTAATATGTAATTATTAAAAATGCCTATTTCTCAAAAGAAGATTTGAGAAAACTACACCAACATACATAAAAAGAGAAACAAATATAAAAAGTGAAATAGAAGCCAGACATGATAATGTACACCTATAGTCCCAGCTACTCAGGACACTGAGGCAGGAAGACCACTTGAGCCCAGGAGTTTAAGGTCAACCTGGGCAATACAGTGTGACCCTGTCTCAAAATAATAATAATAATAATAATAATAATAACAACAACAACAACAATAACACAATTTAAAACTAAAACATAAAAGTGAAATATAAATCACACAAAAAAACAAAAGGAAAAAGCATACAAAATCAGACTATGAAGGGCATATGTGAGGCACTGGATTTGATCCTCAGCACCCCCAAAAAATAAATAAAATAAAAGTAATGTGTCCATCTACAACTAAAAAAAAAAATCAGACTAGTTACTAGACAGGTAAACAAGTGTTCATAACTGTTTGGGGGTCACAGAGACCTTTCAAAAGATGATGGATGCTACATGCCCCTTCCCAAAACAATCCATTAATCCACAAACCCACACAACTTGTTCAATTCTTAGGGGCTCCTAAATCCCCTTCATGCTTAGTCCCAGGTAGTCCCTTAGACCCCAGATTAAAATCTCTAAAATAAATGAAATTTATACAGAGTATGGATTTGAATTAAATAATCCAAAAATTGAGTTGACAAATAGAACTGATGAAATAAAAACAGTTTTTGAGAGAACACAAAGCTTTATAAAAGTTGATAATATACCCTGGCCCAAAGCAGTTCTATGGACATTTAGAAATGTTGATAATACAGTACAAGAAATAAGCAGCAAAGACCTAAGCATTAAACAATTGGGAATATTTTTTAGAAAACATCTGGGCCAAAAGGAAATTTCCAATGCTATAATAACAACCCCCCCAAAAAAAACAAAACAAAACATCAAAACGTACATAGAGAGCAAACAAAGCTATGACTATAATGAGAAAACCATAGACCAAAGTGCCTACATTTATTAATGATAATAAAAATATGATTAATCAGCCAGTCACAGTGGCTGTAATCCCAGCAGCTTGGGAGGCTGAGACAGGAGAATCGAGAGTTCAAAGCCAGCCTCAGCAACTATGAGGTGCTAAGCAACTCAGTGAGACCTTGTCTCTAAATAAAATACAAACTAGGGCTGGGGATGTGGCTCAGTGGTTAAGCACCCCTGAGTTCAATCCCTGGTACCAAAAAAAAAAAAAAAATATATATATATATATATATATATATATATATATATATGATTAATCATATCTAAATGATTAACCTTAGAATTGGAAAGTATTAAGCTGAGAGGGAAAGAGAGAAACATGTTTTAACAAAACAAATTAGCAAACAAAATCAAAAACTGGAGTTTTATAACACTCAACAACATCTATATAAATCACTGTAGGAAGAAGAGAAAAAATGTAAAGCAAAAACAGACAACTCAATTAAAAAACAGYTAAAATATTACCAGGGACCATATCTTATTATAACTTTACATTGTTTGGGAATCTAAATAAAAAGAGAGTTCTAAAAAATACACAATAGAACAGTGAAAAAATTCAAAAAACAAAACAAGGCTCTGCTTATACATACATCCAAAAAATAGAAAAGTGCCTGGTCTAACCATGTTTACAGAAGAATCTGTTAACCCTTGGGGGATGAGTTAATTCCTATGTTATATAAAAAGAAGGAAAGGAAAGGGGGAGGGAGGGAGGAAGAGGAGATAGAAAGTGCATACTCCAAAAGGTGAGAACTGCATAAAGTGAATTATGAGAACCCAGGCATGAAAAGAGAGGGCAACAAACAGCCTGAATTCTGTGTGGCTTTTTCAGAGGAGGTAAATCAGTTTGGCTGAAATAAGGATCTATGTGCAGAAAAGCTCCTGAAAGATAAGAGAATGGTGACATGTGCAAAGTGGTGCTTAGAAATCAATTTGGCTGGAACACGCAGGAAAAGCAGAGAGAGACCCTGATGGACGCTTCCTGGACAAAGACAGGATGACCAAGGCTGAGGTGGAATGGGGATGGGTAGTAAAAAAGAGGTAGATCTTTCAGGGGATTCTGCCTAATGTCACCTGCTGCCCCAACTGTTTCTTAGCATTCTCTCTTCACTTCTGATAAATGACAAGACCTTGAGTGAAAGCTGCCTGTAAATAGCACCTGGGACCACCTGTCAGCCCTGGACCTCCAGAGTCCAGCTGGTTATGCACAGGATTCTTGGGGACACTGGGCAGTCAGAACTCTTAGCGGGATTTCTCCAGTCTATCACACCCATGGTTCCAAACCTCTGGCCTACCAAGCCCCACTTATTAAAGAACAAATACGGCTTTCCGTATTTATTAATCAAAACTATATATAAATGCCACACTGAGCTTCTGAAAAACTGAGATAACCAGCATCACCATGATAAATTCATCTGATTCCAGTGGTAAGTAAACTTTTGGAAAACTTCAAAACAGCTCAGATTGCCTCTTTCTCCACTACCTCTGAGAAGCTGGGAACCTGGAAAGAGGGATAGCCAGCACTAATATCCCCCATGATGCTGGGGATGTAGCTCAGTGGTAGAGCACTCACCTAGCATGTTCAAGGCCAAGGTTTAATCCCCAGCACCACGAAAATCAAGGGGGTATTCCCCGGCCAGGGACAAGGGCTTATTTATTGGCCAATCATCACTGCCTGAGCTCATACTCAGGGGACTGGGGGTAGGAAACTGAGACAGAATGGCAAACAGGCTTGCTTGGCCAGAGCAAGCAGGCTGACATTAGATGCTGTTGGGGCTGCATGAAAGCTCAGCACAGGGCTCCCATTCTGGCCACACACTATAACTTCTAATTACCTGGGGTGTTTTGAAAAAAAACATTATCAGGGACCCAACTCTGGGGATGCCGATTAAATTGGTCTAGGTGGGACATGGGTAAGGGCACTTTTTAAATAGCCCCCAGGTGAATTCCAGTTAGGACAGAGAATACAGGAGCATGGATGACACTGCTGCAGCAGAAGGCTCAAGATGGTGTTTAAGAGAAAGCTTCAGTATATGGGACACTTCTCTGGTCTGCAGGGAATGTGCTTCTGGGTAGGCAGGGGTCACTAAGGTTCTCCATTCTCAACTGCCAAAACACTTTCAAGTATAGCCTGGTTCCTACTCTTACAGGTAAGTGTCCAGGTTTCATCACCCCAATCCCTTGGAAGGGGAAACAGACCCTGGGGCAAGTTATGGGACTTGCTCAATGTCATACAAATAGGATGGAGTAGTCCTGGGACTTGAACCAGCCTCTTCCTCTCATCACCTGCTTCYAATATCCCCAGCTAAGTCACAGCCAGATGTTGAATATACTCTGCCCACAAGAGGACCAAATTTCCACCCTCTTATGACAGAGCCACCTGACAGAATCTACCCTAATGCTAAGTTATAAGACCACACTAGGGGCTCACTGCTGTCACTCCCAATCCCTCTAACCCTCCTTTGTCCTATCAACCTATTTTGGTTCTCCCTAATGCCCAACCTTGGCAGACAATTCTATTTTGCCTCTGCTCTATCTACTGAATTCATTTTCTTCAGCTGACTTGGACTGTAAGCATGGTTTCTAACTTCTGAAAGTGTCAGACTGAGGCAGACTGATTTAAAGTTCATTTGACATTTTCCTGGGCTTAACTAAATTGTCTGCCTCTTGAAATTCTTCTTCTTTTATACTTGGAAAAAAATGAAGAGAGGGCAAAACAAAATTTCATAGGCTTGAGAGTCAAAATGAGAATGAGAAAACTGAAAATCTRTTCTCTTTGGGGGCTCACTTCCCTATTGTTCCATCCTCCCTTCACCCAGGAAGCCTGTTGAGAGCATGGTGTGCTTGGCCAGGTGTCATGTAGAACCTTCCTGCTGGGGGGAATGGTCAGGAGGGCCTTGTGGGAGAATTTCCATCCAGCATTGTTATCAGGGAGGTAGGTGGAGTCTAAGAGACAAAAAAATGTATGTATGGGCTCCATCTGGCAAAGGCTTCCAACATCTGGAAAAAGGCTCCATCTGGCAAAGGCTTCCAAGCTCCCCCTTCTACAGCTTCTCCCCAGCATGGATTTTCTGATGCCGGATCAGGTGTGAGCTCCCCCTAAAGGACTTGCCACACATGTTACACACATAGGGCTTCTCTCTGGTGTGGGTTTTATAATGCTCAATGAGAGCTGACCTGTGCCGGAAGGCCTTTCCACATTCGCAGGAGTAGGGTTTCTTGCCAGTGTGTATTCTCTGGTGCTGAATCAGTGCAGAGCTGTGGCAGAAGGCCTTGCCACACTGACAGCACTCGTAGGGTTTCTCCCCCGTGTGGATCCGCTGATGCTCAATAAGCGACGAGCTCTGGCTGAAGGCCTTCCCACACTTATGACACTTGTAAGGTTTCTCACCAGTGTGGGTCTTCCGATGTTCAATGAGGTTGGAGCTCTGGCTGAAGGCCTTCCCACACTCTTCGCATTTGTAAGGTTTCTTCCCTGTGTGAATCCGATGATGCCGGATAAGGTGGGACCTATGACAAAAGGCTTTCCCACAAAGATCACATTCGTGGGGCTTCTTCAGAGTGTGGATTTTCCGATGCTGGCTCAAGCCTGAACTCTGATTGAAGGATTTCCCACATTCCTTACACTGATAAGGTCTCTCTCCTGTATGAATTCTCTCATGTTTTCGGAGACTGGAGCTTCTGCTGAAATCCTTCCCACATTCCCTGCACTCATAGGGCCTCTTTCCTGTGTGGATTTTCTGGTGTTGTGTGAGGGCTGAGCTCTGGCGGAAGGCCTTCCCGCACTCCTGGCACTCATAGGGCTTCTCCCCAGTATGGATGAACTGATGTCGGAGAAGGTGGGAGCTCTGGCTGAAGGCCTTCCCACACTCACAGCACTCATAGGGCTTCTCCCCAGTGTGGATGACCAGGTGTCGGAGAAGGTGGGAACTTTGGCTGAAGGCCTTCCCACACTCATGACATGCATAGGGTTTGGCTGGCTGTGGGATACTGTGAGATACCTTAGTCCTCAAGGACCCCCTGCCTGCTTCCTTACAATCAGGTGGACTAGACTCTTCTCTACCATGGATTATCTGACATACACTRAGGTCAGATTTCTGGAGAAAGGTTTCACCAAATATCTCCTCATCCTGGGGTCTGGTTTCAGAGGGGATAGTCTGATGCTGAACAGGGCTTGAGCACAGACTGAAATTCCCCTCGTAATCATCCTGTTCCACATCTTGCTCCCCAAGAGGGACCTCCTTGTAGATAACAGCCATTTGTTCCAAACCTCTTTCCTGAAGAAAAGGGTGCCCCAGGTCCTCCCCTGGGAAAAGTTCTTGCCTGTCCTCAAACACAAAGGTCTCACCAAACTTCGTTGCTGAGGGAACCTCCATTGTGAATCTGGTATCACCCCCAATGACTGTGTATCTTTAAAAATGCTCTTCTTTGGGTCACCTTTACTGTTCTCACAATCTGAAAATAACACAAGGGACGTTGTCAAGTCAGCAAATCAAACAACTGTCAGGTACCTCCTTCCTGTGCTAGACTCTATGGTTGAAAAAATCTTGCCCTTAAGATGACAAGTTTCACTTACCAGAAACAATTGTAAGCAAGACAAATAGACACAATCAAGTGCCACATCATGTGTCTAGACTCTAAGGGCTGAAACAAAGGTAGGTTAAAAGAGGAAGTGGAGCCATTGTGGAAAAGAAGGCAAGTCTCCAGCTACATGACAATGCTGTGGGTGGATTTTCTTGGGAGAGACAAAACTTCTCTCCTACCCTAGGTTAATGACACAGCCACCAATCAGGTGCCAATCAGAACCCTAGGAGTTAGTCTAGACCCTCTCCATTATTGCCCCACCTGGCCCATCCTGTCGTCTTCCTCATGTAGCATGCAAAGGGTCTCTGCTCTCTGCCCTCACTTGCCACTGTGCAGCTCAAGCCTGACTGCAACTCCCCAGGATTTTTTCAATACTCACCTCTTAACCAGCTACCTACCTACAGCTTCTATCCTTCCCCCTGGTCCATGGTCTATACTAGCACCAGAGTGAAGTACCCAAAGCACAAGCCTGACTGAATGAGTCCTTTTCATTCTTAGATCTTCTAACATTCCAGCTCCTTCATTAGGGCCTTCACACCTGGTCCCTCAGTCTTCTCTCCTGTCTCTTTCTCACATACCAACTTTCCAGTTCAACATTCATTTGTACTGCTTTTGTATTTTCCCAAAAGGTCCTTCCCCTGTTCTTAGATTGCCACTTGCTTGTCCTTCCATACTCTGTCCAAATAACCACTCTTTTCTGCACCCTTAGGTTCTTGACTATCTGAGACATGTCCCCTTCGTGACCTGAGGTGATGGGTATACCCACCATAATGCATATTTATAATACTCTCTTCCCCATTAGCCTTCCAGCTCCCTAAGTGCAAATACTGTGTTCCCTCACCATGCAATCCCCAATCCCCAGTATAACAATACAATCCCATGTACACAATAGTTGAATAAATGATCAAAAGGAGGAAAAGTTATCTGATTTTGTGCTACAACGGCCACACATTTCTCTTTTTTGCCAAAAAAAAATATTTTATTCAAATAATTGTTTAGGGGAAAAAAGAGAAAATCAAAACAGGAAAAAAATAATTGCCTAAATGATAAAAACCAATAAAAGAGACAGAAGCAGAATTGCTCCAGTGGAAGAAGGGTATTGTAGCAGGGACAAAGAAAGGAGTTAAGACTATTCAGCTCTCAAACCCACTGCAGTGTCCCCTAAGAGTGCTCCTCAGCACCCCATTCAGAAACTTATCTGCTAGATGAATGGGAAGTCCTCAAGTGATGGGATTATGACAGCAATATAACTCACAGTTTCCCACTATGTGCTGGGAAACACTAGGACTTTCACAAGCATATCTCATTTATTCCTCACAACTCTATACAAATGTATTATCCTTCCTCTGAAGCTTAGAGAGTAATTGACTCAAAAAAAATACTAAATTAATCAGATGGTCACCATGGAATTCATGCTATTTGGATTTTTTTTTTTTTTTTTTTTTTTGGTACGGGAGATTGAACCCAGTTGAACTTAACCACTGGGCCACATCCCCAGTCCCTTTTATGTTTTATTTAGAGACAAGTTCTCACTAAGTTGCTGCAGTTGGCTTTGAACTCATGATCCTCCTGCCTCAGGCTCTCGAGCTGCTGTGCCCAGCTAGAAATTTTGTATGCTTGTTTGTTTCAGCCACCGGGCATGGTRTTACACACCTGTAATCCCTCCCAGCAGCTCAAGAGGCTGAGGCAGGAGGATCATGAGTTCAAAACCAGCCTCAGCAACCTAGCAATGAATGAAACATAAAAAGGGCTGGGGATGTGCCTCAGTGGTTAAGCGCACCTGGATTCAATCCCCAGAATTAAAAAAAAAAAAAAGTTTCAGCCAGAAGTAGGGGTAAAACATAGCAAAGCACAGAACTAAAGTATTCTCAAAAATCCTTTGATCCCTTTGACTCCTCTTACCCTTCCTCTCCTCTTCAACAGCCCATAGTGTCCAATCCTTCACACTCAGCCTAGGCTTACTGATCACCTCAAATTCAATAACCCCTCATTTACACCAGGTTCTCTTTTTTGAGTTCCACCCCTTTGCTATCTGGCTCAGACCCTCTCTCTCTACAGTAGATCTAACTATGAGCTTCCCTTCCACTCTCTAGCCAGGATCATTTTCCTCTTTTCCTCACATCTTTGTATTGCAGCAATAAGCTTGCTAACTCCCAACCTTCCCTAACAATTAAGATGTTAAGTGTTGCCCAGGAAAATCATACCACCATGCAAGAAACCACAACAGATACCAAGTTTTCAGTTTCAGCTGGAACCTCAGCACTCAACACTAGCATCCAATGACCTTATTTGCCAAATATCTCTGTTCTTAGTCCTCATCTTCCCACCCCACYTGGCATTGCTAATCAATACCTCCTCAAACGGAACATTTCAGAAGGTATAAACTGTCAAGCCTGGGGATACCGACACACAGACACATTTTGTTTGGCACATAAAGAGTTGGGCTTTTCTTTAATGGTCAATATTTAAACTCAGTAAGTCCCTACTTCCTCTTGAAAACCTGGAAGATGTGGCAATCTGGGCCCACCCTTTCACTAACCCACGTTGCCTACCTAAGTACCTGAAAACTTTTAAGTTGTCCCCATCGTCCCCCATCCCTCCTTTATTCCCTTGGCTTCTCCAAGTTTTTGCTCCACAATTTTCATACCCTCTGATCCCTCCTGCCTGATTATCTGTGGATTACAACTCTTCCTCCACCCACCTGTTAACTCCTGGCGTTGCCAAGGTTGCCTCCTTAGAGGTTGTTCGTTACTATGAAGTCCCTACCCTCCAAGTCTCCACTCGGAGTAAAAAAAATTAGTAACCCTTTATCTATCCCCAAGAATGTGTTACATGTTTTTGGACCGAAAATCCAAAGGTCTGGAAACTCCATGTTTCCCAACTCTCTCGGTGCCTTTCCCAGCTCCTCTTGCATTCGTCACCCCAGCCTCCAGGTAGCCCCTAGGTCCTGGGCACCTGGCAAACCCTTAGTGTGGTCAGGGTCTCCTGACTGGAGGCCCGGCAGCGGCCGAAGACCCACAGGCGCTCCCCAGCGCCCCTACAGGTTTCCTACCGATTAGGGACACCCAGACGCCGGGACACCCGAGGGACAGGTGGTCAGGAAGACTTGGGTCACACTAGCGGACGCGATGCAACTCACCTGGGCCGGGGCGGGGCGAGGCGGCTCACCTGGGCCGGGGCGGGGCCGCGGGAGGGGCGGGGCTACACCTGAGCTGCTCCAACCCCCGGCAAACGCGGCCTCACTCCGCCGCAGCTGCTGACTCGGAGCCTGAGATCGCCCGAGTGCCTGGAGCCCCGCCCCCTGCCCCCGAGCACTTCCGGGACCGCTCTAGTCAGCGTGGAGGTCCCAACGTCTCGGTGGTCCTGCTGTACGCTTCAGCCACCTCGATCCAGAGGCACTGGGACAGCCAGGAGAGTCTCTTCTGGGCGGTGCAGTGATTCCGGCCGTCCCAATTGGGAGTCTGGCCGTGAGAAAAAYAGCTGTGCCAGCTTTGGTCGGAGTACTGGGAGGAAACAGGCCCGGAAAGGTGGCAGATCTAGAGCCACAGGCGCCTGTTCGACTTACCCTKGGGCTGTATGCAACAGAGGCCTTCAGGATAAGGAGAGGAAGGTCTCAGAATTGTTGACAGATCCAGGGGTCCGGTTTGCATTCACCACCCAGGTTAGATCTGGGCCTGCCCCTTCCCCACAGAGACAGGAACTTTGTGCATCTTTGTGCTGACCTCCAGACATGAGGTTAATCTTGGGGCACCAGGAAGGAAGAATAATGTGTTTGGGCTTTTTTATTTTGTTTTTATTTTGTGCTGGAGATTACACTCACGGCCTTGTGTAAGGTAGGCAAGCACTTACCACTTAATTACATCTCCAGACCGAGGGATGTCTGTTTTCCCATATTGGGGACTGAACCCAGAGCTTCACATATGATAAGCAAGCACTGAGCTACAACCCCAGCCCTTTTTATTTTATTTTTAAAATATTTTTTAAATTATACATGAACACAATATCTTTATTTTGTTTACTTATTTTTATGGGGTGCTGAGGATCAAACCCAGTACCTCACATGTGCAAGGCAGGCGCTGTGCCACTGAGCCACAACCCCTGCGCCCTTTTTATTTTATTTTGAGACMGGATTTCAGTAAGTTGCTCAGGCTATGCTCAAACTCCCAAGCCTCCCAGATACCTGGGATTACAGGTATGAGCCACCATGCCCAGCAAGGCTGTGTTTTTGAATGTGCACATGCCCCTGTCCCAGACACTCAACTCGGCTTCTGATGGCTGCATCACCTGTCAGCTCACCCTCTCTGTCCAGTTGCTCCATCCCTTGATGTATCTGCTCAGACTGTGGGGAAGCCTCCCTCAAGAGAACACACTGTTCCCAAGAGGGGGGATATTGCTCTTGCCTCTTGCCTGCCTTCCTCCTTCAATACTTCAGCTCTAGCCCTCATATGCCTCAGAGTCTCTTCCATGTCCCACACCACCTACACACACCTTGCTATCTCAAGGATAAGTGGGGCCCTCGGCAAAAACCAGGTAGGGAGACAGAGTCTGCCCCTCCCCAAACCAGCTGGTCCATAGGGACCAGCCACCAGATTTGTGAGCGTTGGACCACAATCAGCCAGCCATGCAGAGCTGGGGGTGGCAAGGGCTGGTTCCTTTTTCACTCTCTCTAGCACCCCAGGTCACCGGAAAGCCAGGCCACCAGTTTGAGCCTCTGGGGGCCAGGGGCAGGGCCGGCCACTCCCCAAGGGTCTCAGGTGCTTCCTTTTCAACAGCCATCCCCAGAAACCAGCCCCCCCTTCACACACACACACATAGTCCTAGACCAATCACAATCACTTTTTCAGCCAGAATTTCATGGCTGTTATTGACATGTTGAATGTTATTAGCCCATTTTACAGAGGAAGGCTCAGAGAAAGAGAGGTTCCAAAGGTCAGAGGCAGAAGTGGAAGGCAGTCAGGAGAAATTCATTCCATATCCCACCCCTAAGGACCAAAGCCGTAGCCAACGGAGCAGTAGTAATCCGCATCATCCTCAGGCTGCACAGGGCTGATGGTTAGAATACAGGCATTGTGAGCTATGTCCTTGGCAGCTGAGAATCGGTCAGGAATGCCAGCAGGCCGGTGGTGGTCCTCCTCTGAGCGGTAGTAGAGAAGGTAACGGGGGGCACTGCCTGCCCGCTGCTGGTACCAGGATACACCGTAGTCCCCAATGGTGGTATGTGGGGGGATGAGCGTGCAGGAGAGCTGAGCCACTTGGCCTGGGAAGACCAGCAGTGCATCTGGTTGGGCCAGAACTGGCTGGGACACTAAGAAATACAGATTCATTCAGGCCCAGCCTGGGCCCCTTCCCTCCTGCCCCTGCCTATGAAGGCTCGGTCAGACCTCAAAGAGATGCCCATTCCCAAAGGGTTCATAACCTAGCGTGGTAGGACTAGCACTGAATCAGGTRCAGGAAACCTTGTTCCATGTGACTTATGGTGTTGTTTTAGGCCTCCATTTCTCTCTGTGAGTAAGGGCTTTGGAACCAGTGATCCTCATGTCATTGTTACTTCCATGTCCCAAAAAAATCCATGTTCATTTGAAAGCCTAGCATTCAAAGTATTGGACTAGTGCCCTCTGGTGTCCAGCTCCCTTTCTCTCAAGATTCTTCCCTGTCTGTTTCACAAACTCTGGTTATAGGCTTACACCCCAGGAAAGTCTAGGCTGCACCACCTGTCAGCTCAGCCTCAGTCCACTGGCTTCTCAGGACATTTTCAGYGTTAGGTTGCCTCTGAGGCCTTGTGGGATAGTAACTTTCTATTATCCCTTTCCTCTATAAAACTAAGGTGATTATCTCCATTCTCCTAAGACCCCAAAGGATAAGAGTCCTAAGGGACCCTGGCAATCTGATCATTCACAAATGGAGAAACCAAGGCCCACACAGGGAAAAGATTTACCCCAGGTCAGTGGCAAAGCTGCCTGGATCCAGCTTTCCTCTTCACCTGAATGTCTCTCCCAGGACCCTCCCTATAGTCCCTATAGATTTGCTTCCTTGCAGGGGTCTTCTGGGGCTAGTGCCTCCCCCACCACATTCTCAAATAAGCCAGGCCAAGGGAAGGCTCACCTGCTAGGAAGACTCCCATCAGAAGGAGGACCAGGCACCTGGGGCAGACCATGGCCAGAGACAGGAAGGCTGGCAGTCTTTCTACTAAGCTTAGGTGGTTAGGGGCACAGGGCTAAGCAGGTTGCTGGACCACAACAAGGCATGCAAATCAGTCCATTGACTGAGAAGGGAGGGGTATAGCTGGGGCCAATGGCCAGGCCCTATCTTCCCAATGTCARGATCCTGACACTAAGACATTGGGAGCTCAGAAGCTTGGAAATCCTCAAGTGAGTGATAGCAGGAGATTGGAATCTGCTTTTTTGTAGCACCGGTGATACAAACCAGAACCTCAAGCATGCTACTCAAGTGCTCTACCACTGAGCCACATTCCCAGCCTTAGAATCTGTTTCTTCATTGAGATACAACTGATATACAGGAAAGTGTGGGAGATCATCCTTGCATGTGATTGAGTTTCCTCCCMGGCTGGGTGTGAGGCGCTCGGTCACTTTTTAATGTGGTAAAGAGCTTTCCCCACCCTTCTTGGGTTTGAGAGCTTGTCAGTGTGGAGGCGTATCTCACCACTGCCCCAAAGATCCAATCACCGCACCTAACCTTGCAACACTGCCCCCCTTGACCTTCACTGGATGGGATTTTCCCCAGAATTCTTTGTTCCCCAATAAAAGCCCTCTCCCTAGCGTGCTTGCTCTCTCTCCCTAGCCTCTTCAGTAAAACCTCGCTGCCCCCCTGGGAAGCTTGAGGCTGAGGGTTCGAGGAAGAGCCGTCCAGGAGCTGGTTTAAAGGTAAAATGGAGTCTGTGTCTTTAATTTAAACTCCCTGAGGATTTTCCCGCATGACCGAACCACTTACACCATCTGTGCTGGCTGCAGACTAAAGGAAAGTGCACAAATATTAACCATATAGTTCGATGATTTTATATTTAATACACACAGATTTATATATGGTGTATATACGTGTAATATATAACACACACACACAATACAAACATCCCTGAAAMCCTACATCTGGATCAAGATTTACAACATTTTCATGTCCCCAGAAGGCCCCTCAGCACCTTTCCAATCAGTAACAGCCTCCACCCCTGCTATAGTTTAGATCTAAAATGTCTGTTAAAGGCCCATGTGTTAAAGCCTTGGTCCCTGGCTTGGCTCTATTGGTAGACCCCAGTGGAAGACCGTCAGATCAATGAGGGTGTGACCTTAAAGGGGATAAATGGGACCCAAGCTCCTTYCTCTTCCTCTCTTTCATTCCCTGGACTGCCTTGAGGTGAGTAGCTTTGCTCTACCTCATACTCCCCACCATGATGTGCTGCCTCAGCACAAGCTGAAAAGCAACAGAGTCATGGACTGAAACCTCCAAAACTATGAGCCAAAATAAACCTTTCCTATTTAGGTTGGTTATCTCCGGTATTTGTAATAGTGACAGAAAGCTGACTAAATAACCCCCCAAGGGAACCATCATTCTGAYTTCAAACACTTTAGATTAATTTTGCCTTTTTTAGATCTTCTACTATAAATGGAATTATAGTGGGATATGTGTGTGTGAACCTACTTCTATTGTCCAACATTATGAGAGTTACTATCCCACAATACTTGGCTAGAAGTATAAATGTGTGTGCAGCAATATGTAATTCAAAGTTCTCATAGCTGTGTATAATCTATTGCGTGAAGATACCACAACTAGTTTATCCATTTTATCCATTCTCTTATTATTAGATATCTGGAAGCTTTCCAGTCTTTGGTCAGGACCAGTAAAACTGCTGTGAACATGTTTGTCAATGTCTTTTGGTGCACCTGTGTTGTCATTTTTACTGTAGAGCTACCCAGAGTGAAACTGCCAAGTGGTAGAGAATGTGCACATTTAACTTTATTAGACACTGCCAAGGTTCCCAACATGGTTGTAGCCATCTGCACTCCCACCAGCAGGATAAGAGTTCTAGTGACTTCACATCCTCACTAGCCTTGACATTGTCAGTCCCTTTCCTTGGCCAGATGGAGGAAAGCTGAAATGGTTTTCACTACGGGTTAGAATCTCAGCTTCTAATCTCAACTGCATGACTCTAGCCSAGTTATTTCCCCTTCCTGTACCTCAGTTTCACCATCTGAAATGCATATAAGCACATTGGAAGCTGGAAAGCAATGAAGATGCAAAGATAGGATATATTGTTTCAGTGCTGAGCACACTGCATTTATTAAGTGCTATATTTTGGATCTGCAATGTCACCAAAAGGCCCAGATAATAAAGGCTTGGTCCTCAGGTAGGTACTATCAGAAGATAGTAGAACTTTTAAGAGGGGGCCTAGTGGGAGGTCTCAAGTCACTGGGGACATACCCTGGGAGGATAGTAGGAATCCATTCCCTTACTAACTCTCACTTTGCTTCCCAGTCAACATAAGATGAGCAGTTTCCTCCATCACACTCTCCCACTATGATCTGACGCCTCACCAAAGGCCCGAAATAATGGGGCCAACTGATCATGGATTGAAACTAGCACTCTGACTTACAGGGGTCTGGTGGAGGTTAATGGGGAGGGGTGAGAAAAGAAGCAGAAAGAGGGGATGCAGTAGGCAAGAAGGAAAGAGAATGACAAAGAGGAAACAAAGAAAAAATTCAAAGGAAGGATGAACACAGATGTAGATGCAGAGCAATAGGTTAAGTGTGAGACCATAAAAAAAGAAAGAGAGGAAACAGAAAGGAAAGGAGGAAAGACAGACAAATAGATATAAGGGACAGGGAATATGGCAAAAGCTAGTGAGAAGATTAGGGTGAATGTAACTCAGTGCTAAAGCACTTGCTTAGCATGTGTGAGGCACTGGGTTTGAGCCCCAGCACTGTAAATAAATAGAGCTGATAAGAGGGACTAACTAGTAGTGAGAACTAAAGAGGCAATTATGACCTGTTATTGATCCAAGAGACCCAGAAACAACAAGACAGAAGGCAGGAAAATGCAAAACAGTGAGGACAGGCTGAAAACAGTTGGAAGTTTCTTGTAAATTTAAACATACATTCACTAGATGGCCCAGCAATCCCTCTTATGGTATTTACTAGAGAAATGAAAACTTTTGTGCACACAAGAACCTATAAGCAAATATCTATACTGACTTTATGCAAATCTCACCAAATGGAAAAAAAAAACTCAAAATGACAGGAATCCGGACAATGGAGCACTCCTCAGCAATAAGGATACACACAACAACCTTGATGGATCTCAAGTGCATCATGCTGAATGAAAGAAGCCAGACACAACAGGCTGCATGCTGTATGGTTCCATTTATAGGACATACTGGAAAAGGCAAGGACATAAAACAGAGCAGGAGCTATTTTGACCGAAATAACAACTAGAGATTCCCTAAAGATTAAGTTTATTGCTGAGCAGTGGTGAACAACGGTAATTCAGGRACTCAGGAGGCTGAGGCAGGAGGATCATAAGCTCAAAGCCAGCCTCAGCAACTTAGCAAGACCCTGTCTCCAGAAATAAATGAGCTAGGGATGTGACTCAACTGTTAAGCACCCCTGGGTTCAATCCCCAATATAAAAAAGAAAAGAAAAGATTAAGTTTATCTGGGAATGTAACATTGCAATAGAAATAAATGATCCATAGTTAACTACCAGCATATTCAAGGAGATTGAGGCAAGAAGTTTTTGAAGGTGAAATGGATTACATAAAATATTTTAAAATAATAATCCTTGGCTAGAAGTATAAATAACAAGGGTGGCATCCGTCCAAGGTTAAATACACAGTTGTTGGGCAGATGTCTGTGCAGAATTATTTCTGTGTAAGGTTGTTGTGGCCTTTGTACAAGATTGTGATTCCAGCAGAGACCTTTGTGAATAGTTCTTATTATCAAACATGCATAGGTAAGATTCCCTCCTCTGTAAACCTCCCAATTTTATTAATTTCGGAGAGGGGTATTCAGGGCTCGACAAAAGTAACTCCACTTTGATTCTGACAACTTTCACAATTACAAAGAGGCACAAAGGAATTTGGGATGGCGATGGAAATGTTTTATATCCTGACTGTGATGGATGGTTACATGAGATTTCTTAAAACTCGAAAACATTAAAAACAGCAAATTTTACTGTTTGCAAATTTTATCTTAATAAACATGACTAACAAGAAAGAAGGGCAGAAGAATGTGAAAGTTGAGAAAGGGAGGAGAAAGAAAAAGAGCACAGGAAGATGGCCTTGAACTGATTGGTAGCCTGCAGAGATTGGTGACGACGGACACGCGCACACACACACACACACACACACACACACACACACACACACACACACACACCCCTCTTCCAGCTTGGGCCTCTCCCTGATAAGCGAACGTGGTCTCCGCCTCCCTCATCTGAGCCCCCACTGTGGGCGGGACCAGAACCCGGCCTCAAGGAATGCCCGCCCCTTCAGGTCCGTTACCGGGATACTGGGGCTAAGGCATTTCCTGCCTGGAGGTCTTGGCCACTCCCGCTGCCTTGGAGACCTGCTTGGGAGCTAGGGGACGCTATCTGGCCCAGCGAGCGGCAGAAGAAAGAGGACAGAGGTCTTGGACTAGTTGAACAGGTGRCTGGCTGAGCAGGGATCTGGGCTAGGGACCACTCTCCCATCCACCCGCACTTGTACACACCTCCCCAACCCCAYCCCGGAGTAGATCTGTCCCAGGCATTTCCCTAGTGAGGAGGTCCAGAGTTGGTGGCTCAAAGCCCCACCAGATCCGTCTCTTCCCCGCTGCAGCCATGTTTGTCACGGTGATGTTTGGAGGTAAGTGGGGTTCCCCAGCCCTGGAAGGCCCGTGGGGGTGAGTCACACGCAGAGGCGTGCCTCCCTCTGCCGTGGGAAAGCAGCGGCGGGAAGAAAATGTGCAGATGGGGAAGGGATACGGGGGCTCAGAGAAACCGAAATAAGGAGGAGTTAAAGTGAGCACCTGGAGTGAGGCCCTTGGGGAAAATCCCGGTGGGTCCTGCCTTGATAATTCATGCAGGTTCCTCCCAGGAAGGGCTGCCAAGCCACCGGGCAGCACGTTTTTGAACCTATCGCTTTGCCATTCCGTTAGTGGTCCTCAAGCTTCAGCTCGCAACACACATCTGAAGCGGTTTTCACTGCTCCTCTGGTGGGAAGCTGGTCGTCGGGATGTAGGAGGCGGGGTTAGAGCGAGGGGGCGGTTCCAGTGCRAAGAGGCCGTCGGGGGCGGGGCCCGTGCCGGACACCAAGCTAGTTCCTAGATCAGGGCTGGGGTCTGGCTCGTGCGGGAACCTTGAGTTGTGCGCCCCAGTTATCCACATCTGTCAAGATGGATGGATGTCTGCAAAGAAGTTTATGCAAAATTGCCTGGACTACTGTGCCTGGGGTAAGTCCTAGTTCCATAGCCCTAGTCGCAGCTCTAGGGAGGGGACAAATGGGAGAAAGTGGCAGAGGGCCCTGATTGAGGAGAAAGTAGGGGATCATACCTGCTCACCTTTACCCCTACCCCACAGCCGGCTGCGGGGAGCTGGTGAACCCCTGGTGCAGCCTAATGACCCTCACTGCCCACTTGAAGCAGAGGGGGCAGGTCCCCCCAGATGGTAAGGAGATGGGGAGGGATCGGGGAGGAGAGGCTGAGGGACCCCATGCAAGGGTGCCAGCCCTGCCCAGCCTCTCTCCATGCCTTCCCAGAAACCATTGCCCTCTTAGCTGAGGATGGACAACTTGTGAGCCTAGGTGAGGACCTAGAGGAGAAGACTTCCCCAGCCTCCTCCAAGGGCAGTCCTCTTCTACAGGAACGAGGGACATATGTCCTTGTGAAAATCATCAGTAAGTGGACCCAAGACTCTCCCCTGCAGTTGTATTGGAATATAAGGCGGGACAGCAGGCCATAGACCACACTAGGCCCTGCTTAGCCCTCACTTTGACCAGGACCTAGCCCCAGCTTGTCCCTATCCATTACCCTGTCCTGACCCCCAGCTTTGGCCAACAAACAGATCTRGAGTAAGAGGTGGGATAGGGACCATCAGGCCAGTCAGGGGTCTTTTGTTCTCTCTCCATACTCCACAGGGGGAGAGGATGGGACACCTATCCGCTATGAGTCCCTACTAGAGAACCTGGATGATCAGTGTCCGGAGCTGGCAGGTAAGTGTCAGGGTAGAACCCTGGGGGGAAAGGCATTTCTTCTCCCGAGTCCCACCATCAGGGTTTCCTGGGTCTTTCAGAGGAGCTGCGCTGGCTATCAGGCGTCCCCACCATGGGCAATGGCCGGAGGAGACGCATGAGCACTCGGCGTAGCCATCGAGAACTAGAGCCCCCTTCAAGAGCTGGAAGGGTGAGCTCCCTGCCATCCAGGACTCGCTAGCTGGGGCCAGGAGCCAGGTATGGAAGAGGTATGGGCACCCAGAAGTGGAACCCCTTACCAGAAGGCAGACACRTATGTGCTAAGAGAAGCAGACCCTCAGTGCCAACCAAGCATACCTATGCTCTCAAGATGGTTGTTACACATTGTACTGGAGATGGATCACCCCACTGGAGTGCAAGCACCCTAAGGGCAGGAATGTTCTCAGTGCTTAGGGGATGTAGAACAGGGCATGTAGAATTCGGAAGGTGCTCAATGCAAAGTTGCTTAATGAACCCAAGGAAGGCAGAAGCAGGGTGTGTTAGAGCAATCTGCACTGAGTTTGAAGGGCCTGCTCCTTTGTTCCAGCAGGTCCCATGACCTGGCATACCACAGCCAAGTGGACAAGCTGGACTCGGAGTCAAGGGGGCTGGCCGTGACCTCTGACTCATGTGATAAGATGCAAATAGACAACAGCCTAGCAAGATTCCTCTGCCCAATCCAGAATTACTGAGACCTTGCATCATTAAAAGGAGCAAGGTCACAGAAAGGTTGTGAGGCCTCTGAGGGGGAAAGCCCCTATGATGTGGGTGCAGAGAAAGGCGCCCAGAGACAAAAGCACAAAAGGTGGTGGCAGAAGAGGCCCTTGACAGGTAGAAACAAAAGGCTTCTTCTGGGATTCCAGCCCCCAAAGTCAGATGCTCTTGAGATCACCTGCTAATGCCTCATCACCTCCCTTTGGGCTGCCCAAAGTAGTCCACCCTTGACTGCCCTAAGTACAGATTATTACAGAACTCTTCCCACCCTACCCAGGATGTCTGTTGCAGGTGATACACAGCACACTACAATGAGATATCCATCCACCTCCCCTAATCCCAGTTCATTAGCTAGGGTGCTTCCAGCAGACAGGCCAGCAAGGACACACAACAGGCTGTGATTTAAAATAAACTCTTTAATTGCACATTTGTGTCTTGAGTTATCTATGGGGTAGGAAACCTCCTTCTTACTCCCAATCCCAGTTATAATCTGTCATCATGGTCCAGCTGTCYGTAAGGGGATGGGGTGGATGCAGGGTTAGGACCCAGGAGCCATCTCAGAGCTGGCCAATGAGTCTGCACCAACATGTTCAGGGGAGAGAGCTCAGACCTGTAGAGGGAAGGAGCAGCATAGGCTGTTGTCGCTTGCAGGTGCAAGAAGAGGGTCTGCCCCTTTCAATCCCCACCTGGGATAGGGTCCAATTTCTCACCATGGTTGTATTTGCACTGCTTCAGGGCCTCACTGAAGCCCTCACACAGGGACAGGTCGCTCTGAGTGGTTGAGCAGTCCAGAAATTGTTTGATCTCATAGGAGCAGGGTCCCATCTGTAGTGGGGCAGCACGGGTAGGGGCCTGCAGGGGGGAGTGTGACAGGCAGAAAGGTCAGCTCAAGGTTGATTCCTAGAGATAGGTTCCAAAGCTGGGGGCTGCCTGCCTCTTCCCATATYCTGTCTTGCTGCCTCAAAGATCCCAGGTCTGACCTGCCCCTGTCTAACCTCAGCTGAGCTGCTACATCCATGAAACAGCAAGCCAGCCACCCTCTTCAATGTCATTAAACTGATGCACACAGGGTTTCCTTGCTGCCTCACATTGGGCATGCTGGGGAGGAGCAAGGGAGGGAGGAGGAAAAGATTCTAGAATCTTTTATGTACTCTGAAAATAGCCCCACCTCCTGGCTCAGCCAAACTGATCCTTATGACCCTTGACCTAACTGCTAAGCGGCATTTGGATTTGGCTCAGGACTGGTAAGGCCTCAGTGGGGAACAGGCCATCAGAGACCAGGAGCCATGACCACAGGCTGACCTTCACATTGGGCCTAGCAGCTACAATACTGAATTGGTAAGGAGAACAAGGGCTTGGTAAATTCAATATCCCTTGTCACTCTACTAGGGTTAGGTGAATTTGGGTAAATCTCTGAGTCCCACTGAACCTGGGTTTCCCATTTTTAAAGGGCTGGTTGGTATCAGTCCCTAAGAGTCCAGGGACCTTGCCCTCAAAGAGGGACAGAGCCTGCCAATGAAGTGACAGTGAGCTCAACAGCAGAGTGAGGAATAGGACCCTCCTTAGTCAAAGTCCTAGGCCTGAGGCAACTCTGTATACATCCACTGGACACTCTTCCCTATGTGGCCTTGAGAGAATCCTGCCTCAGTTTCTCTTGGGTCCTGCTGCTTACCTGCTGGGCAGCAGGCTGGGCAGCAGGCTGGGCAGGCTCTGAGCTTCCTCCACTGAAAGCTCCAGTCAGGGCACTGCCCATGACATGTCCCACGGCGGAGCCCACGGCTACCCCAGCGGCCATGGATGCCATCTGTGTCATGAGACCTGGCTGGCCCGAGGGGGCAGGATTCGGGGCTGCTGCTGAGGGCGGTGGGTGTGCAGGTGGATGGGCAGAAGGTGCCGCTGGGCGACTGCAGGGATAGGAGGAAGCAGGGTTAATCCTTGCTGGATCCTAGGCCAGGGTTCTCAGGACCCTGTAGCTCCTGCAAACGACTGCCTTTACTCCCGGAAAACCAGGAGGGCGACCCCCGAATTAGATACTTGACTGCTGCCCCCAGACCCTCCCCCCACCAAGATGGCGCAGTAACAACAAAGGTCACTACGGACGCCCTTGATAGAGTGCCCGCACTTTCCCAGCCTCCTCCCCATGGGGTCCCTGTCCTTTTCACACCTGGCTGGCCGGGCGGCCGCGCTTCGGCTCCCACGTGGCATGGTGGCTGTGGGGGGACTTGAATGAGCTGAGTCAGAGACCGCTTCGTCCCCCGGACGAACGCAGCAGCGCTAGTCACTAGGGGCTAAAGGAGGAGTCTAGGGCGGAGTCTTAGGGACACGCCCCCAGCTGAAAGAGGAGCTTTTCTCAAGCCCGGCCCTCTTTGGTGGCACCAAAGATCTGTCTCACCTGGAAAGGAGAGGCTGCTCCCTCCCTGCTCCTGATCCCAGTTATGAAAGCTGTAGGAACACAAGCCAAAGTCGCAAACCACCAAGGGCTTAAGCAGGGCGACAGGGCCAGGGAGGGATGGCTCACGCCTGTAATCCCAGCGACTCGCGAGGCTGAGGATCGCAAGTTCCCGGCCAGTCTCAGCAACTTACGGCCGGGCAGTAAGCAACTTAGCGAGACCCTATTTCAAAATTAAAAAAATAAAAAAATGTCTGGAGTTGTATGTAGCTCAGTGGTAAAGCGCCCCTGGATTCAATCCCCGGTACCAAAATCCAAAAAAATACTGCGGAGAGCAGGGAATGAAGTTGGGGTTGTGAAATAGGACGCGAACTCTTCTAGTTCTGGCTGAATTCCCTGTCCCTGCTCACCGTACAAGGTTGGCTGACCGTCACGTGGCCTCGGGGTTAGGAGTGGAGTTAAGCCGAGGACTACAGAAATCTGTCCCCAGAACTCCCACTAGGGGGCGTACCGACACTTTTTGATTCTTCCAGCGCCCGGAACCTCGAGCAGTGTTGTCCTCGCACTCACCCACCCCGCCCGTCCGGGTGCTAGGAGGCTCTGCTACGCGACTGTTAATCCCGGCTGGTCCCCTGGGATCTTGACCCCACCGCTTCAGTGCCAGACACTGATAGCATTCACACGACATTCAAGTAATGTGTCCGTCCTAAAGGCTGTGACCAGAGTGCAAAGACATGTTTACCTGGCTAAGGATCAAACCAAGTACACGAATTATGAATGTTTAATTTTGAAAATTATATATTTTCATATGTATCAGAAAATGTATTGATTCAATTCATGAATTCAATTCAAATACAGATGTTGGAATCCTGAGATCTAAAGATTTTAGCACCTTGGTTTCAGGCCAAGGTGAAGCCAGAGGCGTGGATTTAGAAGGCTTTCCAACCCATCAGGAACTCAAGGTTTTTATGGTCTTTCCTCGGTGACTTTGCTGTGGTCATATTATGACCCTTAGTTGGAGGCAGGGAGAACCSTGAATTCTTTCCCCTCCCTTTTCATTGTCTGGTGTGCCAGCAGAGGCGATCTGAAATCAGGAAATCACCAAGAACAAAAGCATCCAGGAGATGGATGAAGAGCAGAGATCCCTCTATGAATAAGAGGGACCAGGGGCAAAGACAAACAGCTAGCTGAGTTGGATCTAGCCCTACCTGGTCCCACTCAGCTAAATGCAGGCGGAGCTGTTCCCAGCCACACATACTGTATGTGAAAGTCATGCAGGTTCCTATGTTCTTACATTTACTTCCTTCAACCATCCTCTGCAGCAGAGCCCTCCCCTGCCAGGTCTTCAGTTTTCTTCTCTCTGAAATAAAAGTTACCATCTACCTCCAGGGTGGGCTTCCCACTAAGATGAGCATGGCACTCAAGGCCATTTCAAGGTAGTTACACAAATGAATGTTTAATTTTGAAAATTATGTATTTTCATGTGTATCAGAAAATGTATTGATTCAATTCATGAATTCTTGAATTGCTGACACTGAAACAAGCATTGAAATGTCTACCTCTAAAAAGTAAGTCACTTTCTAAGTAAAATGAGCCAGACTCCAAAAATCAAGGGTCTAATGTTTTTTTCTCATATGCAAAAGGTGGAGTACATGGAGTGGGGAGAGGATGTTGAACATCATAAAGATATAAGGAAGATCAATGGAATAGAAGAAGAAAATAGAGGAGGAGGARGGATGGGAAAAGGCAGGAAATGCAGAATGAATTTTACAAAATTATGTACATGTATAAATATACCACAGTGAATTCCACCTTTATATTTATCTATAAAGCACCAATCAAAAATAAACAAATGAGCTGGGTGTGGAGGTGCATACCTGTAATCCCAGTGTCTCTGGAGGCTGAGGCTGAAGGGTCATGAATTTGAAGTCAGCCTCAGCAAAAGCAAGGCACTAAGCAACTCAGTGAGACCCTGTCTCTTAATAGAGTACGAAATAGGGCTGGGGACATGGCTCAGTGGTCCAGTGCCCCTGAGTTCAATCCTCGGTACCTCAAAAAAGTTAAAAAAAAAAAAAATGAATGAGTGAAAGGAAGACCAGTAGAGGGGAAGGGAGGAGGGCAAGGAGGTACCAGGAACTGAAATGAGTAAACCAAATTTCATGCTTATATGATTTTTGTCAAAATTAACCCAACTATTATGTATAACTATATGCACTAATAAAAAATTAAATTAAAAAGTGAATCACTTTAAAGGAAAAGATTGGCGGTCTAGGTAGTTAACTCTCATTTCTGTCTTACCCCTACTCCCCCTCTAGGGGTCTCTGTGGAGTCTTTCTAGAGAAGCTGTGAAGTGCATCCCACCCCCATTTCTTGGTCCAAGCTTATATTCCATCACCTTGCAGCAGCTCAGGGCCCTGCCTGACGGGATGGGAGGAAGCCACTGCCTGCATCTGGACTCTGCAGGGTTGCCCATGATGGGGAAGACTACCTGTTGCAGTGGGGAGGCCCTTCTTCATTACAGGGCAGGAGTGGGCACCCTCTTGCAACTGAGGATGAGACCTGAGGATCCCTTCCAGCATGTGGACGTTACCCCATCCTTTGATTCTTACCTTTTCTCCTGAAACGGCTGAAATGGCTGGCTCTGAGGTTTACAGGGACTTGTTGAGCCCTAACCAGCAGACAGCCCAGGACCCCAGTCACCTACTCAGATACCCTCTTATAGCCTTCTTACAGCTTACTCTCCCCAGCTGACCAGCTAGAGAGTCTCCTGACCCTCCACTCGCCTTCTGGCATAGAAAAGTCTGGCCCTTCCCTCTCAGAGCCTCAGTTACCTCATCTATAAATTATCTCTGATCTGTTCCAAGGTGAGGGACTGGCCAGTCTCTGCCATATGCCTGTTTCTCCTGGGACACTTTTTAATAGCCCTTTCTTCACAGTAGCTATTGTGCCATCTTCTAGAAGGAAGGGGGTGGAGATGTCTCTAAGGGATAGGAGAATTTGCCCATGGGCAAGAACACCTGTCACAGACAGGTTAGAGGTTATGCCACCATTGAGACTCCGCCTAATGATAGTCTTTAAAGGTGGGGGTAAGGCTTGGGAGGAGTGAATCTCAACYCTCTCAGACTCTTTATTAGGTCTGAGGCTCTGGACGCCCTGTCCCACACAGCAAGGTCCCACACAGCCCAGAGCAGCACTGGCTGGCCAGGGTTACCCAGCACCAGACTTCCGAGGGCTGGAGCTGGGGCCGCTCCAGAACAGGACTTTAGTCTCCAGGCTCCGATCCCTGCCGGTCTAGCCCCTCCGGATCTACCTCCCCCACCCAGGCTGCTGCGACAGGGAAAGTTTAGAACAAAAGGCAGCGGGGGGCGGGGCCGGGGCTGGGGCGGACTCGAGGGCGGGACAGAGGCTATAAGGGGCGGTGGCCCGGCGCGGCCCAGCAGGCCCAGCAGCCCCGGGGCGGATGGCACGGGCCGCCGGGTACCGAGGCGCGGACCCACGCGCGCTCCTGTTCCCGCTACTGCTGCTGCTGCTGCTTTTGCCGCCGCCGCTGCTGGCCCGGGCCAAGCCGCTGGTGAGTGCCCGTCACCGGCCTGCTGCTCATCCCCAAGGGAAGACCAGGCACGCGATGGGCTCACCGGCAGAGCTGGACTCCTGGGGACGCCCTGGGTGGGCTGGCGCAGCCGGTACCTGAAATGCCTTCTGGGTCTCCGTGGGTATAATAATGAGCTTCACGTCCCTAGAGGTATGCAAGTGGAACCTGCGCCGGGATCGCTCAGGCTGGTGGGGCGGGAGTCGGCGCTGGACTCACGCCCCCTCCCAGCTTGGCGACCTGCTCCCAGCCGCAAATGCTGGGGTGTGTGTTGGGAGAGCAGCAAAGGGAGTGGTTACAGGGCCCCCTATTCATTCCAGGGACAAAGCCAGCAGGTCTCAGGCAGTTGTCAGCTTCCAGGTGTGTGGCCACTGAAAGCCGGCCTGCAGGTGTGCAGTGGAAAGAAGATACTGAAAGAGTTGGGGAGGGGAGAGACTTCTCTGGGGAAAATGGAGTGTGAGCCTGGAGAAGATGCCTCCCTCTGGTCACCTGCATGAGGCAGGTTTGGGAGAATTAGAAGTGACAGCGTGKGTGATCTTTCAATGGGGGTCAGAAAGAAAGGGGTACCATGAGAGATTGAGATCCTCAGAGAGTAATGGATGGGGAGAAAAAGGAAAAGTATGAAATATGTGTTTGGGAGAGAAGAAAATCCAGGTAAGAGAACAAAGCTGTGTAAAGAAAGTGGTGGTGGTGGTGTGTGTGTGGGGGGGGGGGGGGGACAGGCAGGGCTTAGAGCCAGAGTCTGGACCACTTCAGACCCACAGGGCCCTAGGTATCTGGTGTACTGGCTGGGCAGCTGAGGCATCCAGATAGCTTGGCCAGAGATAAGAGCAGGAGGATGTGACAGGCAGGCATCCTGGGATTTAAGGCTTTGTCCAGCCACACTGGCTTTGCCTGGGCCAGTCTTGCCTGGTTCTGGCTATGAGAGTGGAAGGGCATGGAAAGATGGGGTACAATGGGTAGAGGGTAGATCTGTCTGGAGATCTTGCATCTTCCCCAGCCCTCCTCCGTCCCCTGGGTAGCAACTGAACCTATGGGTTCAAKAATTGGAGAGATTTGAACCATGTGATCCTGAGTCCTCTTCCCCTTCAGAACCTCACCCGCTCCATCTGTAATGGGGAAGGGGGTAGGAGGGGTAATAGTGCCTACTATTGAGGATTAAATGAGGTAATGTCAGGCACACTGAAGCCACTCTGTCACCTGTAACTGTCACTGTGATGTTTGTGCAGAGGGTAGCATTGGGGTTGGGTGCCAGGTGGAGTCTGAGCTGGATTGTTGTCTATTGCTACTGACATACTTGGAGCATTTGGGGTCACCTCCAATGTGTTTTTCCCTARGCTGCCTTCAGCAGGGCCAGGAGATTTCTGTAAATATTTATCTATCCCTGTTCCCAGCTTTCAGGGCTGATTAAAGCCCTGCCTGCAACTTAGTGGGACAAAGCTGCCTACCTTCCTAAAACCAGGAGAGMGGTGGGAAGATGGCCCATTAGGCAGAAGCAAAAAGAAGACGATCCTGCCTGTCAAGTGGCTGTGTGCCGTAGGCAGGTTGCTTGGCCTCTGGGACCCTCAGATGGGTCTGATGTTTCAGAGAATGGCCTGATACGCTTTCCTGTCTTCCTCACAGTGTAACACAGTGCTCTCTTCTCGAAATCACCTCTTACTGATAGCAGAAAACATAGCTGTGCTTAATTAAACCAATTAGAAAGCAAACTGGGGTCAAGAGAAGAACACAACTAACCTGGCCTTAACCAGTGGTTTCCTAGTCTGGGGTCCTCCCTTATCTCCCCTCCACCATTTTGTGGATTAGAAGTTGATCAGGCACTGTCCTTGAGTCTCTAAGCTCCACCAGAAGACTGGGTCAGCCAAGAAATTCCTTGAGTGTGTCTGAGGCTGTGGGTTGGTGGCTGTCAGAACAGAGAAGGGTGGGGYAGAGTGAGCCAAGCACCTAGCACAGGGAAGCCCAAAGGAGCTAAGAATGAGGGAATGCACTAGAAGCAGAAATTTCTCAGGTATGTGGGTTTGGGARATAAGCCAAGAGCTGGGGGTAGGAGTTGGAAGTACTGGAAGGGAGAAGACATGAGTCCCGGTCTGAGACCAGCTCTTGCCTGATTTGCTTTGTGACTCTGAAAAAAAAGACCTTGACCTCTCTGGGCTCTGTTTCATCTTCCAAGAAAAGAGGTAAGGGCTTGTCCCCAAACTCCCCAAGGCTGTAGATAAGGCTGCAGGTGGTCTGTGCCCACCTTATGCTGGATGACAATAGTCCTGGAGGATAGAGAATTTGGGGAGAACAAATTCCCAAGTATGGGAGGGAAGGGCCTCAGAGGCAGAGAATGGGGCCAGATGCTGCAGTGGATATTACAGAAGGATGTCACTTAGCTCTTTGGTGCCATCCCCCATTTGAGGGATGGGGAAGGCTAAAAGAAGACAGTGACTTGTTTAGGGTTGTCTGACCATGGTCTTGGTTCCTCATGAGAGAAGGAGTGGAAGGGACAGGGTATATGGGGTATATACATCAATTATTGTCCCTCTCTYCATGGCTAGCTATACCAGGCTTCACTGGGCAGCAGAGGAGAGAGATTTCTAGCATAAACTGAGCTGACAGGCTGAACTCTCGGGTTGTTAGAGGTTCTCAGGGAGGGCCCCCACACCCTGCTAGGSTTGACAGAAAGAATCTGTTTCTCCCCTAGATAGGCCAAATAGGAGCAGGTCCTTGCAGCTAGTCACACAGACCTGGGGTCCACATTTTCAGGGTGAGACCTTGGATTGGTATCATGCCCATCTTAGAGTGGAAGATTCAATGAGCCCATATGCAGAGTGCCTGGGAAATAGCAAGTACTTAATAATTTTCCATTTTTCTGTTACTAGGTGAGGTCAGCCAGGGTTCCTCCTCCAGGGGACAGATGATTCAACCCTCAAGAACAAAGCAGACAGCAAGGGAGGGAAGCCGATTGAGAGCACAGAGGGTCCACTCCCTGCCAGCTATTATCTGAGCAAGCTGCTCCATCTCCTTGTTTGAGAAATGGGGATGATGACAGTGGAGTTGATAAGAGTTCCACCAGGGACTAAGAGCAGGTCAGTGTAGTTATAGGCAGGGTACTGGTCCACCACAGTAATAAGTACTTATTAAAAGTAAGTCCAGAATCAGGCGAGACCTACCACTTTGGCTGTGTTGTACAAGGTAAATAAGTTCAAAACTTAATTACTTATTATTAATTGCTCACATCTAAAGTAGCTCCAAGTACCCCGGATGGTTGAGAAGGGCCTTTTTTTTTGATGGAGTGTCCTTGGGAGTTGAATCCTCAGCTCTGGAATGGGGAGCTTGAAAGGCTGGTACCCTGATCAGAGCTCTGGGTGCCTGGAGTGTGGGAGAGCTGCCAGAGGCTGAGGCTGAAGGCGGAGACTGAGTGGTCAGGCTCCCACYCCAAATATGGCTGTGGGGAGGCTGCAGCTGCTTCAGTCAGACAGGCCCAGACCAGACAGGTGCTGAACGTCTCAGTAAACAACACAGCTTCATCTTCTCCTCCAGCCCAGGAAGTAGACCTGTTTTTTATGCAGTGTTTGGAACCAGGCCCTGACATTTGGCCTGGGACACCAAGGTCTTCATTTAGCCACCATGCCCTTGCTGGGTGACCTTGCAGGGTCTCCCAGCCTCGAGTTTCTGCTTTTCTCATGCAYGAGAACTGTGACTTCTGCAATGGGGACTCTCAGAGGGTGAGAGGATGCAGCTCAGGTCAAAATTGYCATCTGTGATCCTGGGGGTTTGACACAGATGGGGCTGGATATCTGGTATCTGGCTGCTTCCACCCTCCCTGCATGAAACGGGTAGGCAGATCACATATCTAGCTCCCACTGTGTGTCTCAACCTGGCAGAGTGTGAGCAAAACCAACTCTGCTAGGAATCAGACGTCAGGGGGGCTGGGAGTATAGCTCAGTGATAAAGCATATGAATGTGAGACCCTGAATTCAATCTCCATCACGCCCAGCAGAAAAAAAAAAAAAAAGGAAATCAGTCCTCAGTTACCAGGTGCCCTTACCAGGTATCCAGGCCTCTGGTAAGTACTCTATATCCATCATCTTATTTCACCTTTAGATCAACCCTGGAGAGGGGATTATCACCCCATTTGTCAGGTAAACAAATAAAGGCCACAGTGCAAGGATGCTGGGAGAGAGAGGAAGGGACATCCTGGGCATCCTGTTATTTGCATAACAGGACAAGGTGTGTGTCTTTGCTCAATTAACACCAGAAGAAAGGGAGATAGTAATCAGTTTGCTGGGTGAGGGAAGAGCATTGGGGGAAGCAGAAGGAGTTTGCCTAATATTTCCTAGAAGCTTTTTGGTTCTATTCCAGGTGTAAATGGAGATTGCAGTTAGGGGCTCCCAGGCTCATGGTCCCCCGAATTTAGTGTGCCCCTATCCAGACTTCACTGACCTGAGCAGGGATTGGTGACAGGCAGCCCAGGGCTCTCCAGGAAGGGAGGATGAGAAAGCTTGATGCCTTGGAATAAGACATCAGGAAACCATACAATCAGCCAGGGCCAAAGGACCCTGCTCTATKCCAACACCCCTCCTAGCCCTCACTCTTCACACTGTGCACAGATGCTGTACACTACTGTGCTGATGAGCCTCACCTTTAGCTATGGGCCATGAGGACCTATGGTCTGACCTGGCTCTTGCATCCTCTTTCTTGCCCAGGATACCTACCACCACCACCACCACCACCACCCTGTGAGAAGAGGGCCGCAGATTCAGCATGCAGCTCTACCTAGTAGCCTGGCACCTACCCTGGCCACCCAGGAGGCCTTCCCACCTGCCAATAGCCCCAGACCTCCTCGCTGTGGTGTGCCTGACCCACCAGATGGGCTGAATGCCCGCAATCGACAGAAGCGCTTTGTGTTGTCTGGAGGACGCTGGGAGAAGACAGACCTCACCTACAGGTAGAGGCCAGAGGCCACCAGAGCAGGACTTTGTGTCCATGTGAGAACCTATCATCCTGCTTCACAAGACACACACCAGGACTAGATCTACATAGTTAACAGATTTGTTTACCCACTGATCCCAGTCATCCTTGGACCAAAACTCTTTGACACCCCAGTTCAGACACACACACAGTCTGATACCCTCCCATTGAACAGGGGTGAGTCATCTGTCATCCYCCCCAAAGAATCTCAGCACATGCCTGGGATGGGTGTTCAGTCTCCCAGGCAGGCTTTACTGGGGCCAGGCCTGAGACTCCATGGTAAATGAGACAGAGTCACAGCCTRGTCCTCCCTGGGAGATGGTTATTCAAATCTACCCTCATAATTTAGGCCTCATACAGGTGGAAAACATGGTGAGCAGGGACAGTAATAGAAGGCTCCTCAATGGGTGATATGGAAGGCCTCTGGGCAGCTGATAGTGGGCTGAGATTTAGCCTGAGAGAGAATGATCTAGTGACATACAGCATTGGAGCTGCTATTCACTATGGGGGAGACCCTGGGCTTTTGAGCCCTGTCTTGGTTCCCAGTTCCCCACCCAGGGAGTACCCAAGGCCTCCACAATCTCAGCTCCAATGCTGGGGATTCTCATTTTTTGTATTATTTCTACCAAACGTAGAAACCTGTATATATCTAAGTACTCACAAACACATACAAAGATGTACCCACATGGCCAGGGAGACCAGTTGGTTGCACCTAAGRCTCAGAGCATACCTGGCTTTCAACCTAGAGTACACCCACCCCATGAGCATCCAGGGGCAACTCTCGGCTCCTCAGGCATCAGGAGCTTCTCTGCCCCAGGCCCAGGCCCAGGCCCCTCCACCTCCCCCCAGGATCCTCCGGTTCCCATGGCAGCTGGTACGGGAGCAGGTACGGCAGACTGTGGCGGAGGCCCTACAGGTATGGAGTGAGGTGACGCCACTTACCTTCACTGAGGTTCATGAGGGCCATGCTGACATCATGATTGACTTCACCAGGTGAGTGTGCAGCATAGGACCCCTGAGGGGAAAAACCCTACTTCCAGCAGCCACTGACTCTATCCCCACCCACCCACAGGTACTGGCATGGGGACAACTTGCCATTCGATGGGCCTGGAGGTATCCTGGCCCATGCCTTCTTCCCCAAAACTCACCGAGAAGGGGATGTCCACTTCGACTATGATGAGACCTGGACTATTGGGGACAACCAGGGTATGGGCTGGAGACCTGTTTTCCAGATGGAGCAAATGGAGACCAGAGAGAATGGGCACCTACCATGGACCCAAGCTCAGGTCCAGAGCTTTGGTAACTGGTGATTGAAGGTGGGGGATTACTAATCTACCTCCCTTTTCCAGGCACTGACCTGCTACAAGTGGCAGCTCATGAATTTGGCCATGTGCTGGGGCTGCAACACACAACAGCAGCTAAAGCCCTTATGTCCCCTTTCTACACCTTCCGCTACCCACTGAGCCTCAGCCCAGATGACCGTAGGGGCATCCAGCACCTATATGGCCAGCCCCGGCGGGCCCCCACCTCCCAGGCCTCAGCTCTAGGTCCCCGGCCTGGGATAGACACCAATGAGATTGCACCAGTGGAGGTGAGACTCAGGAGGGTGGAAAGTCAGGAGTGAGACCCYGCTAGCCTCTGAAGCTCCAGTATGACCTCTTTTCTGATCCCTCTATTTCGCCCCAGCCGGAAGTTCCACCTGATGCCTGTGAGGCCTCCTTTGATGCAGTCTCCACCATCCGGGGAGAGCTTTTTTTCTTTAAGGCAGGCTTTGTGTGGAGGCTGCGCAGTGGCCGACTGCAGCCTGGGTACCCTGCGTTGGCTTCTCGCCACTGGCAGGGACTACCAAGCCCTGTGGATGCTGCCTTTGAGGATGCTCAGGGCCACATTTGGTTCTTCCAAGGTGAGTATGGATTGGGAGTCAGCTCAAGTGACCTCCTATCATCAGGAATGTCATGRCCAAGGGTAGCAACAGACAGTTCCCCAGAGACATAATTGGTAGGGAGATGATGCCCAGAAGACTCAGGGCCAAGAGATAAGCATGGATCTTCATCAAGCATAGCTGGGAGGCTCCCAAAGAAGGTAGCAATTGAGATCAGAATAGCATTGAAAGTTATTGCACATGCACGTTGGTGCACTTGACCCTCAAAGTGACCCTATGAGGTGGAATTCTAGGGATGGGGCCTCTGGAACGCTTACATGATGAAGTGACTCACTTGAGAGCACAGCTTGAAAAAGGCAGAGGAAGAATTTGATCCAGGTCTGGTGACTCTGAAGCCCATGCTTTCAGCTTTCAACTAGCAGAGATGAGAGCTTGGAGCATTCCAGGTGGCAGGATTTCATAAAAGCACAGAATGGGAAACTCCATGTGGGTTCCTAGACAGCCAGGACCTGCTGTGACAGGGCTGGGTCCCAGGGAGTGGTCAACAGGCATTTGTGACAGGCAAYTAAATTCTGGGGGATACAGCAGGAACCCAGGTAGCCCTCTGCTGAGTAGAATAACCTTCCCCATGTGCTCTTTTAAAGACTCGTCACTGCCCTACTTATCTCAGCTGGGTTCCAACATCCCTCTGAGGCTGGGAATGCTGAGCAGACATAATTGGCTCACATATTTTATGGAAAAGGAAACTTGAGTCTGGGAGARTCTGTGGTGGTGACCTAGAAGGTACACAGTGGTTGGGCGTGGTCACAGTAGCTTGATAGCTCCTTGCAGCCTTCCCTCTCTGCAGGTGCTCAGTACTGGGTATATGACGGTGAGAAGCCTGTCCTGGGTCCTGCACCCCTCTCAGAGCTGGGCCTGGTGGGGTCCTCAATCCATGCTGCCTTGGTCTGGGGTCCTGAGAAGAACAAGATCTACTTCTTCCGAGGTGGGGACTACTGGCGTTTCCATCCCAACATTCGGCGTGTGGACAGTCCTGTGCCACGTCGGGCCACTGATTGGCGAGGGGTGCCTTCTGAGATTGAYGCTGCCTTCCAGGATGCTGATGGTGTGTTGTGGTAGGATAGCTGGTGGGAGGTGGGTGCAGCAGTTGCATCCCCCATCTGGTGGCAGTTAAACCTCGTCACACCCACTTCAAGAGGCCCAGCTCTTTATAACAGGTCCTCTGACTCCCCACATCTTACCCCCTCCTGGTGGCCAGCCATTGATAGACCTTGTGTTGCAAACGAAGAGACTGAGTACCAGAGCGGTGCAAGGACTTGCCCAGATCCTTTGGTCACAGTTGGTAAACAAGGGTAGAGGATTTAGCCCAGTGATAGAGCACTTACCTGTGGTAAGCAAGTCCTAGGTTTGATCCCCAACACTGCAAAATGAATGAATGAATGATCACTGTACACTGAGGACTAAGAATGCTCTAAGCATAACACCAAGCTCCTTCMGTGTCTCTTCCAATGCTCAGATGAGCCCTCTCATGTAACACCTCTTATGAACCCACTTTTCAGAGAGGCTCATGCAATGAGGTCCCTAACCAGGGCCACTCAGACAGTGTAGAGCTAGCACTCCAATCCTACCACTGGGAAACTTTCAGTAGAGGACTAGAGCCAGTTTGGAACTCAAAAATCTAGTACTATCTCACTTGACTGCCCTCTCTTTGCTTCTTTGTTCCCCCACTTTGGGACCCAGTGGGAGAGCTGTTGGGTTGGCCTCAGGCTCTGGGACTCCAGCATGTCTCTGTGTAGTCTGGTTGGCAGGTGTGGAAGTAAGATGACCAGGTAAGTGAGAGGAGAAGGACATGTAGGAATTGGGTTCTAAGACTCCTTGCACCTATCAGGCTGGACTAGACTCTTGTGTAGCTGGAAGCATTCCCTGGAGAGAAATGAATATTCTGAAACTGAAAGACTGGCTCTGGAACCTTCAGGTTTCAAGGAACTTAACAGTATCCAAGGCCTGTCTTCTCCAAGCCCGTACTTGGGCACAGCCTGACAGGCAGGCACAGGGCCCTCTATCCACTTTCCCAGGCCTGATCTTCTTTTCTCTTCAGGCTATGCCTACTTCCTGCGCGGTCGACTCTACTGGAAGTTTGATCCTGTGAAGGTGAAGGCTTTGGATGGCTTCCCCCGTCTAGTGGGCCCTGACTTCTTCAGCTGTGCTGAGACTGTCAACACTTTCCGCTGAAGCCCTCAGGGGCTCTGATTCCTGCCAGACCAACACCACTTATATCAGGATATAGACCCACAGCCATCTTTGTGTCTCAGGGCACCAGAATGGGACAGAGCTATGTTTACTCAGGGGGGTGGGATGGGGGTGCAACCACCATGACAACTGCAGAGAAGCACCATGCGGGTCATGGTCACCTGCCAGCAACTGTCTCAGACTGGGCAAGGAGGCATTACTTAAAAGTGAGGGAGATCTTGGGGCTGGCYTTGGTCAAACCTGGCTGCCCAGTGTTTTCATCTCTGCCCCTCAGGGTAGGACCTTGGCAGAGATGGGGGGGAACTACAGCATCCTCACTCTATGCCTTCCTGTCAGGCTATGCTCAAGCATGGGAGATGCCTGCAGGATTCTGGTACTGGAACTGGGGGATGCTAGGAGCTCTGTGGCTTTCTACCCTGGTCAACCAACTGGGCCTTGGGGCAAGACCTTTTCCTGAGAAGTCAGCTCTGGGTAGATGCTTGGATCTGGATGCATTCTCGTTGATGAGTCAAGAGATCTGTTCTCCAGGATGCAGGCTAAAAGGTCCAGTCAGCTGGGAAGGGGGCTGCTTCCTCCTGGAGACCAGGAGCCTTAGAGGCCCCAACATACCTCAATTCTATCCCTGGCCGGGTGGTTCTGAAGCCCTCATCCAAATACTGGTATCCTCCAAAGCCATGTAAATGTGTGTACAGTGTACAAAGGTTTTTTGTTTGTTTGTTTCTTTTCTTTTTTTTTTTTTTTTTTTTTTTTACTAAGGACTGTCATTAAACAGGATTGTTTTCTAATTACCAGCCTGCTCTCTTTGTGACAGTGTTTCTTTGGGTTGGCCTTGTCTTAGGAGTCAGAATTGAAACCCCTTCCCCCAAGCCTCCTATCCTTGGGGCTGGGCACAATGCTCAGGGCTCCTTCTGCTCCATTCCTCCATCATTTTTGGAAGAACACCTGCAGTGGCTTCTTAACTAGTTCCCTGCTTCCCCACTGACCCCTGCAGTTCAAGCTCCAAACTGGCAGTCCTTTTATCTAATGCCACAACCCACTCCTATTCTAAAATACTTTGGCTCCCACTGCTGTGAAAACACAGAACAAAACGTATTATCATGGCCTTTCCCAGTTTTCCTGCATCTCCTTTCACTGTTTTCCAGTCCCACTTGTCTTCCTCATAGTAGTATCTATTACAGCTGCAATTTTATTAGACTGAACTGTATAAAATCGTCACTAGTGGGCTGTTTTTGACTTCATGGCATTACTGCTGTATGGTTGCTGTGACACTSTCTTAATGTTGCCCCCACTCCCTTTAGGCTATAAGTGCTACAGGACAGAGCCCCAGGGCAGGGCTGCACTTGTTGTAAGAACAAAGCACAGAGCAAAGGAGGGAATGGAGGTGTACCCACCCCTTTCCAACTTTCATCTAATGCACCAGCCAAACCAAATAACACCTGGGTCTTTGAATACTGCCAAACTCYAAAGCCTTTGCCCAACCCAGCCCCCACCCATTGTTGCCATTCTGCCCATCCCCGAAGCCAAAGGAACAACTGTGGGTATGAACTGGGATATCTATTCCTATAATCCTTCTTATCTGCTTAGCTGCACTGTGTTTCTGGATGCGGAAACCGAGGTTCTGGCCTGGGGTCACAAAACATGAGGGCCTCTCAGGTTTCCAGATGTAGCTCTGTCTTCCTCCGGGTCTTCAGGCCTCACTTCCTTTCTTCACCCCTGGGCTGAATGCCAGTCCTGGCTGTGAGACTGGGAAAGCCACCGCCTGACTCAGGCCCTCAGTGGCTATTTCCGTCCGTGAGAAGCCTTCWTCGGCACAAGACTTGGGAAACATCCTAGAATGGAAAAGAAACTGGTCGTGGTTCCTTTAAGGGTTTTGCGGGAACGCGCCTGATCTTTTGTTTGGGCGGCGGCGCGCGCGTCAGCGTCAACGCCCGCGCTTGCGCACTRAGGGAGGCCTGGTCGTCTTCTGTGGTGGCAGCTTAGGAGCCCGGTGGTGGCGCGAGCGCCTGCCCGGCCCTCCCTTCCCCTCCTGGCCCCGGTTCCTCTCGGTTCGGCGCGCCCCGGCCCCACCCCAGCCTATCTGATCCTTCACATCTCGGCTTCGGCCCCTCGCCTCCGCCGCCGCAATGATGATGATGGCACTGAGCAAGACCTTTGGGCAGAAGCCCGTCAAGTTCCAGCTGGAGGACGACGGCGAATTCTACATGATCGGCTCTGAGGTAGCCCGCGTCGCGTTCTTGCCCTCCCCGGCCCCGGTCCCGCGGGAGCCCCGGGGCGGGTCTGTGCGCCGGGAGCGCGCGTCTCCATTCATCGCGGCGGCGGCGGCGGGCGGGCGGGCGCGTGCTTGGGGCTGCGGGGCGTGGTCTGGTGGGCGTGGCCGGGCCGGCCCCTACTTGATCTGGGTTTACTTACCCATTTCAGTCGTCTCGGACGCTATCTGCTGCCAGGGCTTAAGATACCACCGGACTTGCACTAAGTTGGTACAGCTCCAGCCCGACGCAAAGGAATGGGATCTTATGTTACCCCTTGTGGCTCCTGGGGGCGGAGTGGCTGCACTACTGCCTTTGAACCTTCTGAGATGTTGGAAACCTCAGGGGCACTCCCTCCCGTTGCTCCAGGGGAGGTCCTGAAATCTCGGGTGGTGAACCTGAGACTTAGAAAAGGCCCATCCCCTTTGTCTTCATTTCTTCTGAGGTGGGTGGTGGAGGTGTTTTGGCCTTTGTTTATCTGAAGAAACTGGTTGAGAGAAGGATGTTTGCTTTGGGGTGGATAAGGCCCCAGTGCTTGGAATTGGATCTTTCAGCAATTGAAGCAATTGATACGTTGGTTATCTGTGAACTGATCCTGAATTATTACAAGGGAAAAATCTTAAGGATTCTTTAATCCTTAACTAGAAGTRGCAGGGCTTTGTTGAATCAGCTGGACGACTGACTTTAGGAAAACCCTACAAATGGCCCATCAGTCTGGGTTTGTACTGAGTATATACATATTTTTTGCAGGTAGCCCTGTTCTTTTAGTTCTCACAGCAGTCTTCAGCTATTTGATTTTCCTTTAAAAAAAATTAAAATGGGGGCCTCCCCATGTTGCTCTGTTTGGCCTAGAGCTCAATATCCTTCTGCCTCAGCCATCACAATAGCTAGGATTAGATATGCAGTACCATGCCCACCTCTTTATATCCTTTTTTGTTTTTAAATTGTAGATAAAAAATTCATATGAGCAAATATCAAGCAGTAGAGTCTCTTGTGTAAGGAGGTAAGTGCCAACTCTGGAGAGCTAAAGTCATTACAGAATGCCGAGGATTACCTCTCCTTGCAGTGGTTTTCAGTATCATACACCAACATTTCATTCATGTTGTTAATTTTTTATTTTTTTGACAATTGAACAGTGTGATGAATGAAGCCTCATACTGGTCACGCCAAGGTTTTTAGGACACCCCCATGATTCCTGTTGTTGCTGTATCAAGTTATTGTTGTCTCATCAGAACTTTAGTGTTTCCACTTTTCAYCAGTTTTTTAATAAAACAAAAAGATCAGGATGCAATAAACTTTACATGTTGTCACTTTAAATGCTGTTGTTCCAGGAAGAATGTTCTGAGGACATGGAGTCATGTCTGTCCATCTCCCACGGCTTAGAATGGTCCTCAGCAGGGAGTAGGTATCTRTATAAATGCAGGGTGTAAAAGGCAGTTGAGGAGTTTCAGTGTGTGATATTGGGCAGGTTGTTTTAAAGAAACCTATACCTGATCTAATGAATGAAAAAGGAATCTGGCCTGGACTCTGAGAGGATGGTACCTTTTTTGGGTATCAGGCGGTTTACTCTCTTGGACCCAGCTTAACAGTCACCAGGTCTTTGGAGTTGAGGGAAGGGTTTAGGTAATAGCACTATTTTCCAGTAGATCCTGCAATATTAGTCCTTCACCTTGGAAAACAGGCATTATATTCAGAGTGGTAGGCTGGCCAGAGCAATACAGATAGTGCCTCYGTGTGACATTGTGGAGCTGTCATCAAAGAGTATCTGCAGTCACTATGAGTATGTGTCACTGTTTTCCCACCTTCTATAGGCAGCTAGATATACCAAGCCAGAAGCATAGAGCTAAGAGAACTCTAAGAAATCTCAAGTCCAGCATCTTCATTTTATATGTAAGGATCCTGATCCARAGACGGCAAAGCCTGGTTCAGGGCAAAGCCAGGAAGGCAAACCTCAGTATCTTAAGTTTTGAAGGGACCTTGGAAGGTGTGTAGGGTCTGAGAATCCTGCAGAACTTTCATGGCAATCATGGTAGCCAGTATTGTCAACATATTTTCAAAAATCTAATGGAAACTATACTTTTACCCTTGGATGGTAACAATATGCATGCCAGATAGCAACAAGATGTCTGTGTTCTCTGTCTGGCACTGAGGGACTCACTGTGTCTTTGTCTTTCTCTTATGATGTTTAGGAGCCTTGGTAGTTGATCTTCCCTTTATGAAACATGGAGATATGCACTTTTACTAAATAAATATATACTATTCTGGGTAGAGAGAATGGGAGAAATATAGAAGTGCACCTTTGTAGGGCAAGTTCAGAGTTGCTAAGCATATAATTCTAGGATGCAGTTGAAACTAGCACCTGGTACCCCATCTGTGGCTGTCTTCTAAAATGTGACTCTGAAGCAACTGTTTCTGAAAAGTTGAGACTATGGGGTATCTTTATACAAACTTTAGGACTAGCTTTCTTTTCATGAAAAAAGTTACTTTCTATATAGTACAAACTGAAGCTATTGTTTGGGGAAGTAATGATTTATGTGGCAGCCTGGTGATTGTCAATAAGTGATTTTTAACTCTTTGGAAAATTCTTTTGGTATCCTCAGTTTGGGCTTTGTTACTAAACAAAGCAACCCAGGCCATGGGGAAATTACCATGCATCTGTCTAAAATTAAAAGACTTTTCAGTGTTTATTACATCATAAAAATATCAAAGTCTGCTTCTTAAGATAAAAGAAGGTCAAAGAAGCTTTGCGTTTATGGAAAGTGCCAGAGATCCTTATTCTAAAATCAAATCACCATGAGCTTCTTGCTAAACTCTGGGGTCTTCTTACTAAGCTCTGGGGGCCTCCCTTGTAGACATCTGGTCAGACCCTTCGGAACTTGATTCTGTTGTCAGAATGCGCAGATGCAGGCCAGATGTGCACTGCTGTTGAACCCTTGATGTCAGCAGAATGTGTTTTATTGCTGCTGAAAGCCTGGCGCCTGGGGTCCACCTGAAGGCCTGTTTGTTGGACACTCAATCCAACAGATCATCTGCATACCAGGACCCTCCCCTTCTACATGGAGATGTGACCCTCATAATGAGCCTTCTTGCTTTACCTCATAGGTGGGAAACTACCTCCGTATGTTCCGAGGTTCTCTATACAAGAGATACCCCTCACTCTGGAGGCGACTAGCCACTGTGGAAGAGAGGAAGAAAATAGTTGCATCGTCACATGGTAAAAAAACAAAACCTAACACTAAGGGTGCGTCTTCACGAGGGTTTGTAAACCTGTTTCAAAACCACTCGCTTATGTCATGAAGATAAAACGTTTTCACTCCAGTGTCTTCACTGCAGCCTTGACCTTAGCCAAACAGGAGCATCCCAGGGGCAGGGCTGCCCTGTAAGCACACATGCAGCTCAGGTGAGAGTGCAGCTCAGAGAGCTATTGGTTATCCATTGTCAGG